TTATTAGATATGTCATCTGTAGGTAAGTCATTCTCGGGAGAAGTAACTGCAGTATGACCATTGGAGACAACATTAGGAATAGGTGTTGAAACCGCAGAGACCGCAGACGAGGATAAGCTTGGATGATCATCAGTGTCCATTTGAACAGATGAGAAGTTATCCGTGTTGCTCATTCTCACGGCAATTTCATATATACCATTTTGACTATTGTGATCAGGATTATCATTATCCGAAGAAATACCTTTGAAAGGTTGATTTTCTTCGGGATCTTGTGGTCTCTTAAAAAATCTGCGAACCCGCTGAGTAATAAAATAGTAATAAATTTGTTATAATATAATAATTGGATTGTAACCAATTATAAAGTAATTCATACTTTGACTGGTTTATAATTAGAATTAAGCTTGTAAACAGTTCCAATTCGTAATATACGTTCTTTCTTAACCGCCTTTTGTAGTGCTTGAGAAGCGGATGCGCGGAAATTTTTATGTAATGGATATGTACTAATGCAAACACAAAATAAATAATCTAGCAACAAATGAACAATTTATGTAAAATGATCATTGCTATTAAATATTTACTTATTCATCCATTCAAAAATGTTACGAGGAGCGCTTCCGGAAGGGTCAGCTATGGCAGTTAAAGCTTGTACAATCATTTCTTCGTAAGATGGTAAATCAACGCCGACGGCTGGCAAGTGAGCACGTGAAGAATCGGTGGCGTCGACCACAAAACCCTGAGAAACCGGGGTGGAAATCTCCGATTGTATTAGTATAAAAGAAAAATGGCAAACTATGTTTTTGTATAGACTACAGAAAGCTTGATAGTATAACTAAGAAAGATGCTTACAGGATTTAAACCTGGTGTCTGCCTATCATCCACCGATGAGGGATTTTGATTAGATGTAGATGTAATAGCATGAGCATTATTCGCGATTTTTTCTTTTATATCAGCTGGATATAAAGGAAGATCCGGATGTAATTTTTCAGCAATGAGTATAAGATCAATTAGGACTCGCTGTGGTAAAGATGACAGATATGCAACTTTCTAGGCGAATAAACCGATAATATTAAACGGATGTTAAATAATAAGATATAAAACAAATAAATTACTAGAAGATACCTGCTCTTCTGTTAAACCATTTCCTGAGCTACCTCGAAAAATATCGGAAGAGACAGATATGGATCCAGATGATGTGTTTGAACTATCGACTTTCCTTCGTTTACGGCCTCTAAGCGCTTCCTCACACTTTGCACACATCCATTCTGCATCAGTTATTTCAACTACGCGACTTTCAATAGGCGGTTTGTGGCATTGTTGATGATAAGGAATGTCGCACTTATCACATAATACTATACGATTATTTTTAGGAGAGCGACCATCTCTACAAATGGTACACACGATATCATCAGAAGTATCTTGATCCCCGTTAGTCGATGTCCGTGAAGTATTTATATTCCGTTGACGTTTGTCTACAATATAAAAGTGAAGAATACATGAAATGGACTTCACATAACTACATGTAGTAATAATAATAATAATAATAATAATAATAAATAATAATAATTACTTGTATTCTTCCTATTTTCATTTGACGATTTTTTGACGTCAGGAGTAAATAATACAGGCTTGTGGACTTTTCTACCATACTTTGTCTTTGGTAAATCATCAAAATCCGAAGCTGATAATAAAAAAACAAATTCATAAAGTGCAAAATCAATAATGTATTAATCAACAATTATAATATGGTAACTTACACACGAAAGGATGTTCACTATTATTTTTATCAGGTGTTACAGATGACGACAAATTAATTGATTTATTTTGTGAACTGGAATCTGTCATTTTATCCGTATTGGCCAAATCATCAGACACAGATTGAGACGAGATGTTACTATCAACGCCCGGATTATTGGGCATATTAGATATATTGGACACTGGGTTGTTGTTTTCATCCGCGTGTTTGGGGAATTCGATCTCCTGCACCACATCATTCCCTTGCTTAACGGGGCTAGAAGTATCCGGATGAATAACATCTTCAAGCTCGAATTCCCCATCTTCGTCACCCTTTAAAGGGAATAAACCATGCAATAAATTTGAGAATTACAAAATTGATATTGATCTATTTTTAAAGTTAAAGGCAATACTATATAGTAGAACGTGCTAATAAAAAGATAATCTAGAGATATATCAATCTCGATATTCTCTTCCAGATTGAAATCAACATTTACCCATTCTTCCTGTTGTTGGTTTCTTTTAACAAAATTGACTTCTTGTTTTGTAGTAGAGTCAGTTGTCAACAGAGAACTAAGCACGCCATTAGAGGCAGGCACACTTGTGCTTGATTGAGACATTAAAAATGAGAGACAAGTCGTAATTTTTCTAGTTAATATCAATTTATCTAAAGTGGATAATTTTCAAAACCGTAAATAATGCTCGTTGGTCAAAAATTGTGGTATTAAAAATTTTACGTGATAATTTTTTTTTCGGGGCTTGGTGACTGTTTAAAAACCAGCTGAAAACCAGGTCTCGAGCATCAAAAATTCTGCAGAATTCGTGAAAATTAAATGTTGTCACGTGTTACTATGTGTAAAAAAAAAATGACGCGAATCGAATATATTTGACTCTTGCAAAAAATATGTCATTATGAAGTAATTAAATAAGTGTACGTAAGAAACATAGAGAAAAGCGTTATAAATAATTAACATAATAACAACGTTCGTTTTTCGATTGTTATTTTGTCTTTCAATGTCACCAGCAGTTGGTTTGATGTCCGCAGTAAACAGTAGGGAACTTACGGACGATAAAAAATCGAATATCACTTCTTTAGCTGTGGCTCAAGGCGCTAACCTCCTGAATAGAGACACAGGTGGATTCACTGGCCTTCCTCCTGGTGGCTTTGATTCATTTATTTCATCAATATCAGTTCGATCACAATGGATTGCATTTTGGATTTTGTGGATTATTTGGGCTCTACTTTTGTAAATTAAAGTGTTATATGACATGTTAATACATATATTATCCTTTATGCATTAATAATAATTTCGTAAAATTCAGACTGTTGAATTGGATCCATAAAGAACTAGTTAAGCGTGACAGGATCGAACTAAGGTCGTCAACTGATGAACGTACCGAACAAACCGAAACAACCGCAAACGCCTTTTTGGAAAGATTAGTAAGTTTAAATTATAATTTTTTATTAAAAAATATACAAATCTCACAAATTTAAAACTTTCAAGGGCAATGGACCGAAACGCGCATCAAGAATTGCACATGATCTATTATTAGGCTTCTTATCTGCACTGGTCATGAATACACTTGGTCGTGGATCCGGTACAGCCGTGGAAATACTTTCATGGATTTACCTCGGCTTATCTATTATCTGGTTGGGTACAGAATTGGTAACCGAAAATAAACTTGTTCGGTTGTCAATAGGATCTATATTGTTGGCAATTTTGCTAACGATCTTCATTATTTCATACGCGGCTGGTTGGCGATTTGTTGGCTAAAATGTAGATCATCTACCACTATTCTGCTGAGCCTCTATAGCAAGTTTTGTATGACCATTAAAATGAAATGCATGTTTTCTTTAACATTATCTTTGATAAACTTGAATAAATATATGCTGTATTTATTTGAAAACAATGCTTATCAATTATCAATTAACGGAAAAGAATTCAGGCACTACTTCATATCGAATTAAGCGATCATTTTGAACGCTTTTTATCTTTTCGAATGTACTATGGCTGTTTATTTTTATAGCCAAGCTTCTCTAAGTGTACGTTATAGGCCATACTGGCTTAAGAAATGCTTGGTGTTAAACTGCAACTTCTAGTTGCTATAACTGCATGTTTTGGCAGGTCATTTTCAATGTTTTAACTAAAAATCAGGTGTTTTTTTACACGTACATGAAGTTTAGATTGTATCAATGAAGTTTTAGATACTTAAAAGAATAAATCGTCTAAATGGTTCTATGCTTCCGTTTTATTATGCTTCGAAATGGTAGAACGGCATTTCGGGCATCGTAAGTGTTACGTAAATCTTCGGATAAAAGATCCCCCACAATTGTATATCTTTATGTACTATACCCGGTTCGAATTGTGGAATCTACAAATGGCAAAATAGTTTTTTCAAATATAGAATATTCATGCTTTTTAAAAATTTTTTTTTTTTAATGATATAGACTCTCAACCATGTACTATACCCGGGTTTAACGGTTTTAACAGAATCTGCCGGGCGACCACGAGGTTTGTGGGTCATGCGTTTGGGAATGAAGTGTATCTCTTAAGGGTAGGGTGTACGTAGATCATTTTTCATATGATCTACGTGGTATATTAGATTTTTATATACAGTCAGACCTCGTTATAGTCACTCTTGATATAGTCACAACCTTGTTATAGTCACGCTATTTCTTAATCCT